AGTGTAAGGAAGGGGATAGGGTTAGGGTTAACAAGGGTTAGGGTTAGTGTTAGAGTTAGGGTTAGGGTTAGGGTTAGAGTTAAGGTTAGGATTTAGGGTTTGGGTTAGGGTTAAGGTTAGAGTTGAGGTTAGATTCAGAACGGGGAAAGATACCTGCCAGTTCAAAGGTGATTTGCGCAGGCAACTCTTGCTCTTTGTGTAGTGCCGAGTTGTGCACCACCTGCTCTTGAGAGACAGAGGCTCAGGGCTTTCTTTCCTCTTTTGGTGGTCCAAGCATGGGGGTGGCACAGCAGCCAACCATAGCCTCAAGAAAAGCCCTGCCAGCCCCTCCTCCCTCATTCCGTGCCTCAGTTTCCCCACCTTGAGCAGCTCTTGGGGACCTGAGGGGTGGCATCATCCCGCCCCAGCACCACCCCCTCGAGTTCCTCTCCTCCACCAAGCTAGGGGGGCCCAGCGGACACGACCCCCAGTCCCTGCACCCCGGTGACACGGGGGGCTCCCCACAGCCCCCACTCAGCCCATCAGTCTCAGCCCATGGAGCCGACCTGGTCCTCCTCCATGTCCTGGCAGAGCCGGGGGGGCGCAGGGCTGGGGACACGGACCCGAGGTTGGGGACACGACGCTGTCACACGGAGGAGGGGACAGGAAGCCAAAGCCCCCTGCCCTCCTCACTCTTCTGACCTCTCCCACCCTTTTCCTGTCGTTTTAGGGGGGTCCCAGCACTTTTTGGGGTGTGCTGGGTGCCATGTTGAAGGGCAGGTGCCCTCCCAAAAGCCCCCAAACATCCCCGCCATCCCCAGTGATGTCACCACTGTCCCTGTGACATCTCTGCTGTTGCCAATGATGTCACAGCTGTCCAGTTGGTGTCATCACAGTCCCTGTGACATCACCAGACAGTTGTGATGTCACTGGTCTCCAGCGATGTCACTGCTGTCCCATGAGATGTCACCACTGTCCCATGTGATGTAACTGCTGTCCCCAAGGGTGGTCCCTGTATCCCCAAAATGTCACTGCTGTCTCTGTGATGTCACCTCTGTCTCAAGCGGTAGCACCATGTCCCCATGATGCCACTGATGTCCCCTGAGTCTCACCAGAGCCCTGGGATGTCACTGGTCTCCTGGGATGTCACTGCTGCCCCCTTCAGCAAAACTGAAGGCAGAGGGCCCAGCTCCCTGCAGCTGTCCTGTATCCCAGGGTCGGAGGCTTGTGCAGGACTTGCAGCCAGCAGGGGAAAGAAAGAGCTTTCCTTTTCCCTCTAAAGGCTCACGTGCAAGAGCTGAACAGCAGCACAACCTCTGTTCCGGTGAGGTCCTCCCTCAGCCAGTCCAGGCAGCGCTCCAGCACAGCCAGTGCCCAGGGAGAATCGCCCAGCCCGGCCTGTTCTCTCTGACAGAGCTCCTGAGCTGGGAAGATGGGGTTGGCAGGTCCAGGCTGGGCTTGCTTGGGCTTTGCTGGGCTGGGCAAGGGCTGGGAGCTGGGAGCATTGGGGCTGCTCCTCCAGCTCCTGCTCTCACCGTGTTCTCCTCCTTTCCTTTCCCACTCCACTGGCAACCCGCACGGAAAATGGGGTTTACAGACACCCCTGTAACTCCCAGTGGGTTTGTCCCTGTCGTCAGGAATCTGCCCTGTGCCAACCCCTGGGGTCGTCTGCACCAGTTCTGGTGGGGAATTGCCTGCGCTTGGCTTGGCTTGGCAGGGCAACACGTCCACAGCTCCTCCTCTCCTGGAGGACCGAGAGCTTCTCCAGGGGGACATAGCACCTGACCCTTGTCCTTGGATGAGGCAGAAACATCCCCTTTGTCTTCCCCTTCTCGGGGCGTGGGGCGAAAATCGCCCTTGTCACGGAGCAGCTGCAGGCTCTGCTCCTCCGGTGATCCAACAGCGGCCCCTGCTGACCGGGATTGGAATTGCGCCAAAAAGCCAGGAATAC